ATATAACCCTATATCTGACTCTTTTAGTTTTAGGACTTACAAACAACCGTTATGTGAACAAAACTATAATACTCTCTTTAGCAACTTTGTTGCGAGAGTCAAAAAAGAATTTGAAGATATTTAGTATAGTCTAATCTCTCTTTTTTCTAACCCTGGACTTCGACCACTATTTAAAAAAGTAAATATTTAGAGGACCGGACAAAGGAGTTAGGAACATCCTTGCTAAGTAAGTACCTCCTCAGTGCTTTAAATCAATCACAGTCATTTCTTTCACAGAAACAAATCAACGCACTATAAGTCATCTGGAACTCATCTCGGCAAACTGAGGGCTTACATGATCTAACCGATTGCTTCACAGCTGAGATCAATAAAAATATGGTAATTGTTATAGACGGCAAGGCAACAAGATTTAGAGCTGAAAACTTTTTCAAGTGAAAAATCTTCAGAAGACCTATGAACTATACAGTTCGAGCAATTATTTTAGAAAAGTTAAAATAATAATCGGTGAAATCTCCGTCAGTTTTAAGCTATTTTCTTAATATCTCATTTTCTATGATTTAAAATTCAGAACAAAATTCTTCCCAACATCGTTTGTATCAAATGGCAAGTGAATAATTTGCACAAATTTTTCCTGGTGAAACTTGATCGGTAGATCCCACAATGCTGAGAACCGTGGGCTGGTAGATTAATGCATTTTATATCGTTTTTGCATAGAGGACCTTAGGTAGTCCCTGCTCTATATAGAGATAAAAATACTGAAGTAAAGAAACTGTTAGAAAATATACAATATAACGAAAAATGCTGCGACTTCATCTGCCTTTTCTCTTAACATTAAGTCCCTCCTTTTGACATTCCCAGAACTCTCATTAATTTCGTTTGAAAAAAAGTAAGAACCCCCTTAATACAAGCGTACAAATTACTGCAGTGTCAATGCAGTAAAGCTATTAATCTCCGAACTTAAAGTAAGTTAACTAATAGACATATTTGAAACACGCTCCGCTACTCACCAGTCGCATGCGCCGCCAACAAATCCTTCGAGCTCGAGTCCGGTTTCGTGGCGCTGACACCCAGCGCACTGACGCGCACCGAAAAGCGCGCGCCACTCTTCTGACGCCGCTCATTAATGCCCTTGTACAGCCACGAAATGGCGCAAGGAATAGCACCTAATTCGGTGGGCGGGTTCACGCCACCCAACATGGTTTTCGGTTGACCTGTGCAACGACGAAAAAAAAAATCACACAAAAATGAATACAAAACGAGAAAAAGTAAGCAAAAGAGACAATGAAACATAATGGCGAATTACAAAACAAAAAAACAAAAAAGTGAGGAAGAAAAATGTGCGATAAGCGTGTTGAGATTACGATTAATCTAGAATTTATTGCACATTTCCCGTTAGTGAGCGCAAAGCGAAAAGTATGAAAATGATAAAAGTAAAAGCGGAAACTTACCGGAATTCGGATAACCAATCGTGAGTAGACAGCCGTCTGAACCTTCCAATACGGCGGGTATCACCTCAGACAAAGCGGAAGCACAGATATCGGACTGTGGACGAAAAGAAAGCCGCCAAAAGCGAACGCATAAGTAAAGTAAAAGTTTTAAATAATGACTTGCCGCTTGATAAATTGCGACTTTAAGAACTTTCGCGTGCTGCTGACGATTGCGCGCACTCACCTGTTGATCCTCCGCCGTGAAGAGGCTATCGAAGGCGAACATTTTCGGCGCGGCCACCATGGGACCGCGCTCCTGCGACGTCGAGGCCGCGACGGCGCTCGCTGCCGACGGATCTGTCAGCGTCACTTGGCGTTTCTTCTTATCGACCGCCATGAAGTGCGGGTGTTCCGTGTCCGTGTGCGCGTCCGAGACACGCAACATCACCTTAACCTGCAAAGCACGAAGCACAAAATTCAAGTGCAAATGAAAAATAAATAAAAATTAAAGGAAGTAAATAAAAAAGAAAAACGGAAAATAAATTATGTGTACAAAAAACGGTTTGCAACGAGTTCATTATGACTAATGTCGCATATTTATGCTTTGTACTATATAGTCTACGCCACTTATGAATGACAACACTGTGTTTGTGCAACATGAAGCGCTCATACAGTAGCGCCGTTGATTGTGATCTTAATTGCTGCGGATTGTAATTTAAAGTAGATTTATGTTTTAACTTCATAACGGGCTGGCGCTCCTGCCATCCGCCAACCGCCACCTCGCATAATGTCTAGCGTCATTGTTGACAGACCGATATGATTAGCGGTAAATCGCAGACGGTAATTGGATCGCGTTTTTATGGCACACGTCATGCAATAGCCGACTTTGTTATGCCTGTGCCTCTGCATACTTAGTTGCTTAGGTACATATATGCTTAAATACTTGAGTTATGCTTTATTTGTACTTACCTTGCCGATACCGTAGTTTTCCTTGTTCGCAAGTCGACGCGCCAAACCCGGTGGCATGGGCGGTGGTGCCCGCTGTAGCGCCCCACAAAAGCCACCATTTCGCGCGCTGGCGTTTGGCAGTTCGGCGGTGCGACTTTTCGTCGAATTGTGAGTTTGTGCGAGTTTTTGTGCGGCCCTATGGGAAGAAAGAAATGAATATAGAGAGCACGATTAGTTAGTGAAATCAATATTTATAAGTTTTAAATAAGCTTTAATGTTATATTAGGGTGATGAGAAGGCTCTGAAGTGACTTATGAACCTTTTTATAGTAAGACTAAATCATTGTGTTTTGATAAAATAAGTGAGTAGAGAAACTTTAGACATGGGGGCAATAGTTCTCTGTTAGACGAGGAGGGAATCTACGATATTCCCACTAAATTCAACTAAAACGACAGCGTTTCAAAAATGCTTGTATTTGGATTTTACCTGTATCATATATAAAAATTTATTTATTTTGAAACTGGCACACAAGATCGAAGTCCCGTAAAGTAAAAAATCAATACCTAAAAGACAAAACCATAGCGGATTGAGCTTTTTAACCTTCTTAGGTATTCTGTCCTCTGACTATATAACTCGAGTTAACAGTTCTTCATCGGGTAGAAACTTGAGAAGTGACTATGCAGGCGATACTAGTATTGAACTCACTAACGGTGCGCTCGGCGCTGGTTAATGAAAGTCTAACCTCATTCTTAATGGCATCGAGTCACTTTGCAATAATACTAGTATGGGTGTAAGGCCTCAGCGCTATCTCAGGTAAGCGTAAGGCTTGCAAAGAAAGGCACCGTAGCCCCGATCGGTACTTCTCTCTCCTCGTGTGTTCTACAGATGGACAGTTGGAATTCGCGGGAGCTTGGTCTAAGCTGGCTTATGCGCTGTCGAAAGTTACTTTTGGTCTAAGATCGATCATAACAGATCCAGTCAGCTCTTTGCCCTCAGTAAGCAGTGGCTCAGTGAGCCATCTAGCTGGTTGTGGCGATTCTAAAAGAACATTGCTCTATCGGCTTCCATGCTGTAAGGTTGAGAATACGCCTGGCTGATGTTCGAGGGAAACATCTCAACACTTTCTTCTTGATTGCCCCACGTTTTCGATATCCAGATATCCCACCGAGATCGTGTGATTAGAAATTAAACATCTGAGAAAATTTGCATTCGCTACAAGGCACTTTGATGACTCCTAAGATCGAATAGAGAAGGCTTCTTATGGCTTCGTGAAGAACTGCATATAGTAGTCCTAGAGTGATCACTAAAATAATACATCGAACCGAACCTAATCTACGAAGCTTGTAGTTCAGCTTTATAAACTCATTAGCAATCTACAAAAATGATTTTAAGTACATTTATTTAAAACCGATAAATTCAAAAATTAGCCGAACTTAACTCTCTCAAAGCTCATTTTAATTTAAAGATTTTAAAAATTTCAATTTAAAGCTTCCAAAATTTAATACCTAAATTCTTTATAAGCATATAATTATAGATATAGTAGCAGTTATACATTTTTTTTTATATTTAGAAACCTTTAGTATCTCCTTATTCGCAACTGTGTTTTCCACCAAGAGCACAACATTTATTAATTTCCTTCTGTTTGGCCGTCTGGCTGTTGGAAAATAATTTCTAAGTTCAGACAACTTTTATCCTACTTTTCGTTACGAAATGTGTATGTGTGAATCGGCAGAAATCCTCAAAAGTGTTGCCTCAGCCACAAAAATCGTTAGTTACGGGTGAAATGAACTGAACATAACTAAGACAAAAAAAAAAATCCCAAAACACAATTATGATTCCCCAATATAATAACCGTATTAGACATGATGTTAATGACATTAATTATTACACAACATTAACACACGGAACGAAACCTCTTGTGAAGAGGAATACAGTATGGCATARGCGATGTGAAAATGTGTATGTATGTACATGTACAGTAGCAACTTTGGAAAGGTATTCAGATGCCATGTGAATGGCTTAAATAAATATGGTAGATATAAATACATATACATATGTACCTAAAATTAGAGGCAAAAGGAAATGAGAAGCAAAGTATGTATTTAGGGTGATTCAAAAAAAAAATTTTTTTTTTTTCGTTTGGTACTCTGAAAAATAGGTTCCTAGACACCTCTAGGGTAGCCTCTCCAAGAATGAGTTTTTAATTGTAACGGGAAGGTCCTCCTACTTACAGTGTTCTAGTTTTTCTTATTATCATGTAGAAAAATTTATATTTCGCTTCCAACTCCTTGAAAAAATATCTTGCTCCTTACATTTTGTAGAAAATTGAAGGCTCTACAAAAACAGTCTGTTGCGATTTTTTCGTAAACCCAACCGTTTAAAAGATATTAACGGTTAAAGTTTGATTATTTTTGGGAAATTTTTTTTCTTATGAATTTTATAACTCAATAACAAAAAAAAATCATTATGAATAATGAAACTCATAGTTTTGTAGGAAATTTATTGCTCTATAAAAATGGTCTCTTATGATTTTTCGATTAAGTTAAGCGTTAACGAGATATTCATCGTCAAATATCACTGCATATTAGGGTGAATCAAAAAAAAAATTTTTTTTTTTCATTTGGTACTTTGAAAAATAGGTTCCTAGGCACCTCTCAGAAAGCCTCTCCAAAAACCTATGAGTTTCATCATTCATAATAATTTAGTTCATTGAGTTATAAAATTCATAAAAAATAAAAAATTAAAAAAAAAAAACAATCAAACTTTAACTGTTAATATCTTTTAAATCGTTGGGCTTACGAAAAAAATCGCGGAGACCTTTTTTGTAGAGCATTTAATTTCCTACAAAACCTAAGGAACAAGATATTGTTTCAAGTAGCTGGAAGCGAGATATACATTTATCTATATGATAATAAGAGAAAATAGAAAACTGTAAGTAGGAGGACCTTCCCCTTACAATTAAAAACTCATTCTTGGAGAGGCTACCCTAGAGATGTCTAGGAACCTATTTTTCAGAGTACCAAAAGAAAAAAAAAATTTTTTTTAATCACCCTAATGTATATACAGAAAATATGGAGCCATTTCTAATATGAAATTTGTCTCCAAAACTCCTTCCTTTCTTCCTTCCTTTCCTTCCTTTTTCGAAGTAGTCAATAAAAATTATTTCAACATTCCAAAATACTGCCATCAGAGTGTTGCGTTTTTCCATGTTTTGGGGCGGGTTCATCGTGTGCAGTCCGCTCGGATGACTGTCGATTGGACTTCGAAGTGAAATGATGAAACCATGCTTCGTCCATTGTCACATATTGAGTCAAACCCTTAGAGTTATTATGCTTGAATATCTCCAAACACTGCTCCGTATGGATATTTCGTAGTTGTTTTTGGTCAAAAGTGAGCTCGCACGGCACCCATTTTACCCAGAGCTTTCTAATAATAAAACATTCGTGAATAATATGAGGTACACATTCAATTAATATCTTTAGAATACCAACTATCTCGAACAACTTCACGTTACGGTCACCCAAATTTTTTTTTTGGTCTTTTTTGATGTTTTCGTCGGTAATAACCTCTTTTGGTCGTCTACTATGTTCACCGTTTTCCGTGCTCATCTCACCAAGCATAAACATAGCGTACAAATCCTTGTTGGTGGGTTTTCCTGGCGCAGTATCCGCAAACTTATCAGACCTAGTATTTGCTTCAACTGTATTTTTTCTCTTCAAAAGCCAATACTTTATCAATACGAGACACTTCCTTGTATCCTTTTTTTACAATCAAGAAGTTGCTTCACTCAAAATGAGATAATACACAAATGAAATCTCGAAATGTAAAAATTTTTCTCGCACCTATTCAATGTTAGGATTAACTTTACATAATATGGATTTTATTCTATTAGCGCCATCTATGTGTCCAGACGGGGGCTTTTTGATCTATTATATGCTTCAGTGGAGCTCTGAGAACAACGTCTAGTCAGATACTAAACGTCATTTTACAACAGACCTTTTCCGTAAGCGACTGGTATTGAAGTCAGCTTTTAGACTGGGGGAATTCTCCTCCTTAGCCACCTGTAATAAGGGTCCATCTTAGATAGTTACTTAGGAGGTTCCTGTTTCTATCCAATACCATAAATTTTCAAAATTCATATATCATATAATCAGGCTCGATGAAGTAACAACCAGAATCAGCTTCCGTCTACCAGACCATTGCAGTTTCAAGCAAGGGGAGATCGTAGAAATTAAAGAAAGTGTGCTCAAAGCAAGGAATATATTTACAAAGTGTTTTCCAAAGTAAGCAGGACTTAAAAAAAATGCTTTTTTTTTGTCAAAATCAATTTATTTTATTCAAAATAGTCTTCCTCGGATTCAATACAGCTTCTTGCACCGTTCAAAAGCATGTCGAACTAGTGTTTTAGTTCGTTTGCCGGTATGGCCGCCAATTAAAAAAAATATTCAAAAAATTCTGTTTACTTTGGAAAGCACCTTGTATGATAAGAATAAGGATCTAAAACCATTTCGTGGTTCGGTTCGAATTAGATCGAAACGGATCGAGTTAAATACTCAGCACCATTTAGAGTGGTACGGTACCAAATAAAAGTGAGAAAATTATGAAAAAAATGCTACCTTAAAGTATATACGAGTATATATTGAAAGAAGGACGAAATGCGTCAAACAAAACCTAAACGTCAACATGAAAATATTTTGTTTCACTTATGCACTTCTTCATTTTGTTGGAGATCAATTTTCCATACTTCAAAGCACAGAAGACACGTATTGTCAAGAGAGGCAACTAACCAACAGAGAGATATGCGCACAAAGAATGTGAAGATAAAAATGATAGGGGCAGAAAAAAGTGAAACTCCCGAAAAAATACCAAAAAAGAAACACCAAAGAATTCGACTGCCAGTTAGCTACTCACACATTTCAAAGGATTCACACAACAAGAGAACCGAGGCTCAGTTGCGTTTTCGTTGGTTATGCTACGCAGTAAAGCGAATGCCACAAAAGCAGTGATAAGCAGCAGACAGTATTACAGGCACACATACACATACGCATACATAACAATGATAACTACAAAATAGTCTAACATACATTTAGGCGTTGAAGCAGGTTCTTTGCATGAAAGCGTGATACTGCCAGCCAAGCAGTCTGCTCTTGTGGCGGCAAAGCAGGAAAATCCAACGCTGCGGCACAAGGCAAAGCC